CCCCCCCCGAGACACTTAGCCAATCTAAACTTTGGAGCTCCTGAGTCACAGCTGTTAAACAGCTACTGAAACAAGGAGTCAAAACTTCTTTCATCCCCGCAGATGCACTGGGGAGGTCTTTCAATTGACAGGAAGATGCCACAACAGATATAGGTGTTATAGGCCACGCTGATAGCAACTGTCACCTTTTATGCCATTTGCTGAGGTGTTTGCCTATCCGTTCTTTCTACAGGACTGCGCACCGTTTTCATTCCAGAGCCACCTAAGACCAGCACGCTTCCATGGCCTACGCCTGACCCAGGCTCTGTAAAGGACACAACGTTTACCATTTTAACCAGACCAACGCTGCCGGCTTGCTGCTCTGCAACACCCAGGACAGCAGGTCCACCAGGTGGGTATGTTTAGTACTGCGCAAAGGTCATTTCCACACCTCCAGTGACCCAATTCCCACAGGCATTAAGGCTCCCAGGAAGTCATGAACAACCTGAACAAGCGGCAGTCAGTTTGTTTTGCCCAGGTCACAGCGCCTTTGCAGGCACCGGCTTACACCTTGCCAGTGCCTGGTCCTCCCTGGGTGCGGGCTACAGTACGGGCTGGCACGATGAGAAGGTGGCCAGGTCCCAAGGAGAAGCACGGCTATGCTCTGCGTGCCAGCCGCTCTGCTTTCCTGCTGCTGCCTCGCTGGCTCGCTCCATCCCTTTGGAAAGCCGCTGCTGAGCACAACAGCCCTGAACTACCCACTGCTCAGGCTGAACTCATCATTCCTCTGCTTCTGGTTGCGTCAGGCAGCTGACGGGCTAGGCTGAGGAGGAAAAACGCACCAGGCAGCATACACGTAGGAAACGACACCCAGCACATTTCCAACATGCAGCAGCGTGACTTCACAGGTATATAGATCGGTTTCCTGGGAGCTCTGCAATTTCGTTCTCTTCCACACATTGACGCAGTAATGCTTATGTGCTCAGCAGCAAAAAGCATTCCAGATGAGGACATCAGCGTGTTTCATTCCCCTCACTGCCAAGCTTGGAGTTTCCTCTAGTTTAACATCCTTTTCTTCCTTTCCAGACCAACACACCATGGAAAACTATACCATGGACTTAGCCGACTGGCCACTGACAACAGAATTTGACTACAGCGATTCAACGCCATGCCCAGGAACTGAGGAAAAACACTTTGCAGCAAAACTTCTGCCACCGCTTTATTCTTTGGTGGTGATATTTGGCCTCACGGGCAACATGCTTGTTGTCCTTATCCTGGTAAAATACAAGAGATTGAAGAGTATGACTGACATCTACCTGCTCAATTTGGCAATTTCTGATTTGCTGTTTGTATTTTCTCTCCCTTTTTGGGCTTATTATGCTGTTCACGACTGGATTTTTGGGGAAGCGCTGTGTAGAATTCTCTCAGGTGTCTACCTGCTTGGCTTCTACAGCGGGATCTTTTTCATAATCCTGTTGACCCTAGACAGGTATCTGGCCATAGTGCATGCAGTGTTTGCTTTAAAAGCTAGGACAGTTACCTACGGCATCCTCACCAGCGCTGTCACTTGGGCTGTTGCTATTTTTGCTTCTGTTCCTGGGATAGTATTTCACAAAACTCAAAAGGAAAATTCACGTTATACTTGCAGTGCTCATTATCCA